TCCTTGCAATTCTTGAGCTGTTAGCGTTATTACAGATTCGTTACCATCAAAGAGCAATTTGATCTTCATTGTGTATATTGCCTTTGCCAACATACTCTATGAAGGGCACCAGGTTTTTGACTTCAAACAACTGCTACAGTAGAATTGTTCAAACAAATCATGGAAACTGCAAGTTGAAAAATTTTTCTGTAGTCAGCTGATTGTTTTTTGCAGTGAAAAGTTTTTTGTCAACAGTTACTCTTTCTGCAATTTGAGAAACTGACGGTCTTCTTCATTCTTTATCAATTCATTCGAATTAGCATGACTGATATCAAACAAATTGTCAAGTTTCTTGCTATATTCTTCTTGATTTTGGAGATCTTTTGATTTGTTTCTTGGCCTGTATTTCATGAATCCAACATGCTGGTTATCTTTAATTTTCTAAACTATATCTGGTTTATGTCTTTTCCGAAGTCAACACTTGATCATATACTTTTTATGCACTTTATGCCGCCGTTAATTTTTGCTTCCAGTGATAGAATACAAACTTTCTCATAACGTCATGACCAGAAGGTAGGTGTGCCCTTGTTATCTTGTCACAGGGATGTCCAATCAGCCAGATTATATTGCTACTTCCAGTTGAGGTGAAAAAATATATATATATATATATATATATATATATATATATATATATATATATATATTATATATATTATATATTATATATTATTATATAACTATATTATAAATTGTCTTATTAGACAACATACAATGTCAAACATGTGTGACTTCTTTTGTGAGCGCTGAGTTTAATAGACCAGAAAAATTATACAGATCTAATAGGGTAATGGTATAGATTGTCGCTACTTCTTGAGATTTGCACAAAGTAAATTGATACTTTTCATCAACAAAACTAGTAATAATCTATTAATATACAGAAAATTTTGTACACTGTTAGATTTTAACAAGTTTGATCATAGTGGATAATTATAGTTATAAGATTTTGAAAAATAAATAAACAATTTTTTTTTACATTTTAAAGAAAAACTTTTCTGCCAACAGCAGACATGTCACATGACCAACAAAAATATTCTAAAAATGATATAGTGTTTAATATTATTTACCTGCTCTTCACTTTTATTATTAACATAACTCATTAACCAATAATGTCACAAAATATCATTATTATTGAAATTAAAAAAAATGTAAAATTAGTTAATTTATTATTATTATTATTATTAATTATGATTTGACATTAATTTAAGACATTAACTACTGATGAGCCTAATGGCTTAATGTACAATTGTACATACAATACATATTATGTAAATTTATTAGCATCATAAAATACACCATTGAGGTTAAAAATTCATGATTTTGCTTGATTTCGACATTTTGTCCTTAAATGCAAATTTCTATTTGCACAAAAGTTATATATTTCTATATTCTACAAATAAAAAACTTTCTAGATTTGATAAACAAATTATCATGGGATCAAATATTTTTTCTTTAAAAAAATATTAAAAAAATATATTTTTTTTATTTTTTTATTTATAGAGGTTTAAAGTATGTAGAGGGAAGTTCAGAAACGGTGAATTTTGTTTTACATTCCTTTTTTTTTTTTGCATGACATTCTTTTAAATTTTTATGTGTGTAAATATTAATTAAAAATTAATTAGTTTTATTAATTATATGTTCACAAAACTTTACTTGCATAAAATTGTTTACTTGCTTAAATTTATTTGCATTATGTTTACTTCATGGGCACCCTAAAATTCACCAAAGACTTTCTGCTGCAGCCCATGAATTTTTTTTTTTTTTGAATTTGAAAGTAGGCTTCTTGCACATTCTATAACTGTAAAAATTTAAATCATTTTTTGGTAGCTTTTTGAGAAAACTTACTTAGAAGTTTTATTTTTCGGTACTAAAATAATTTTTTTTTCGTCATCCATTACAGTTATTTATTTTCTGTAATTGCAACAGCGCTATTGGTGATAACAATATTTAGTGGTTTCTGATTGGCTAATAGTTACTGTCTATCAGAATTGCTTTAAAAGCCTAAATTTTTTATCTTTAGTTCTGTTAGAACTAGTTCTAAATCAAGGGAAAAAAAAAACTTGACTAAAAATCACAACGGGTTTTTAAAATAATTTGTATGTGTTTGAAAAAAACAAACAATTTAAATCATTATATTATTAACTTATAATGATTAATGTCATTCTGAAAACAAAAACTTTTAACTTTTATGATATATTAAAAGATTTATACAAAGTTTTAGAGATCATTAATCTTAAAGTTCATTTAGTGGAGCAGCATGAAGAAAAGTTTATTGTTATAGAAGGAGAAATGTTTGTATTTTTTAAAACATCAACAGTTAACATTTTAACTTTACTCCTAAAAATACTAATCTTAAATACTTTCAATGAAGGATATAGGATCAGGAATTTATAGGAATCAGTTCATCAGGAATTTAAATAATTTTGGTAAACAGCTAAGGTAGAATTACACAATGCATATTTCAGTAAAGTCTTGTAAAGCTTTCTGTTTGTACAACACAAAGCATCTATAACTATATATATAAATATATACATATATTATATATTATGTTATAGTAAATATTTACTTTCTAGAAGTAAATATTTACTTTCTAGAAAAATAACTCCTAAATTCAAAGCTTTAGGTTAAGCCGCTGTATTCCTTTATACTGTGTTGACATCCTAAATAAATAATAAACAGTAGGTTGAGCGACCAAACAATTTGTATATCGCTATTTGCTATTTGATCTCCTCACTATAATTTTAAGGTGGGTATAATCTTTAGTTAAAACAAGTCTTGCAGGTAATTTTTCTCAAAATCTACCAACAAATGATTTAAATTTAAGTTTTAAAATGCTCACTTTTTTAATTCTTATTCAGATAAAGAAAAAATAAAGAAAGAATGTGATATATATATATATATATATATATATATATATATATATATATATATATATATATATATATATATATATATATATATATATATATATATATATAATCTTATATATATATATATATATATATATATAAGATTAAAAATTTTATTTCTTTTTTAGAATGTTTTAGAAATGAAGGTTAAGTTATTGAATAATTTATCTGCTGCACAACTTAAGGTGAGGTCACACTCAGCATGATAGATTTTTACAATTCAATTTTTGAAGACTTAAAAAAGTTTATTTTTATTTTCCTTAAGGTGAATGCCTATGCAATGGCTATTGTTTCACTTGATTCAGTTCTTAGAGTTGAGCCAAAAAATACAAAAGCTCTATTTCGGAAAGGAAAGGTATGTTAAATGGGATAGAAATTATGGGTCTTGAAAAGATTAAGACTTTATTTATAGATTTTCAAGATTTTTTTTAAATACTTTTTTTACTTGAATAAATATTTCAAGTTATTTTTTAATTATAAATTTTTGGTTGTTGTGAATAGTGCCTTGAAGGTTTAGGAAATGATGAGGAAGCATTAAAATGTCTTAAAGAAGCATCAACCCTTGACCCACATAACAAAGTAAGACTTATTGATAATTTTCAGTTAATAATACTTTTTGATTATTTTATTTTTTAAGATTGTTCAGGCTGAATGCAGTTATGTGGTTAATTCATTATGCTTTACTTTTAACTGTAAATGGTGTGTTAAGACACAACCTTTTAAAAGCTTTTTGAAATCATATACACGGTAGTGGTGTAGTAGTAGAGCGCTCGCTTCATAAGCATAAGGTTCCGAGTTTGATCCCCACCACGTCCCTGGTAGTATCACGCTCAACTTGTTTCTCCGCACAGCGCCCTTGTTCGTCAAGATTTTTTCATCTTTTTCATGAGAACATTTCTCTTAAGAATAATAATAATTTTTTAATAATTTTTTATTGTAAGAAATTGGTGTAAAAAGGTGTCAGATGCTCTATTATTTTCAGTTCACTAAATCTTGTATCTTATCTCAGAAGGTAGGCTCTAGAGACTTTTGGAAAATCTTCAACAGCGTTGTTAACAAATGTAGTTCTAACATTCCATCTCTCATTCATGGGACTGATCTTATTACCTGTCCAAGGATAAGGCAGAACTATATTCTAACTGCTTTATTAAAGTCATCCTCAAAGGCCAACATTCTTCTTTATTTCCAGTAACTTTTGGGCTACCAAAAAGTTACTGGAAATAAAGTGAAAAAAAAAGTATACTGGGTATATTTTAAAAACTGGAAAATAAAATGGGGTATATTTTAACTCCAACAAAACTAAGTAATTTACTGCAAGCAACTGTCACAGTACTGTCGACATTCCAATATTAATAAATGGCTTTCACTGAGTCCTCTTTTTTACGTTTTCTCGGGTTTTCGTTTATAACTGACCTTTTATGAAAATCATATATACAATCGATAGCTAAATTAGCTATCGATTGTATATATTATTGTAAATTATGAGTATAATTAGCTATCGATTGAATATATGATTGTTAAACTGCAATAAAGATAAGATTGCTTCTCTTTATCATACTTTCTCTCTCCTGATTCCATTCTCTACTTCTACAAATCTCTTATTCATCCCTGTACGGATTACTATTGTCATAATTAGACTGGTTCTTCTAATGATGCTCTTTCTCTTCTAGACAAGGTTCAAAAACGCATTGCAAACGTAGTTGGACTCTCTCTATCTGCTAAGCTTGAGCCTCTTTCCTATTGTTGTAAAGTTGCATCTCATCTATCATGGTTGCTGCTTAAAGGTGCTATTACCTCTAGTTCCATCAACTAAATTTATCTCGCTTGACTCGTAATTTAGCTAAGTCTCATTATTTTACTGTATCTGTCCCTGCATTCTCTAAAAACTTTTATTTGTCTAGTATCAGAAGTTAAAAAAAAAAAAGAAAAAAATGTCTGAGTAATTTTTAACAGTTTATTTATTTAATGTTAGAGTGACAGAACTTGAAACCTGTGTTATTTTAATTTTCATTTATTCTCTTCATGTATCTATTGTTTTAATGCAGTTTTTATACCTGTTTTATTTGTCGATGTAGAATTTTTTTTTTAGTGTTACTGTAAATTTTGCATTTTCATTTGTGTTTTTAATTTTTTTGTAGTTGATTCATCAAGATATTGCAAAAGTCCGTTCTCGACTTGCAGTAACTCAAAAGAAAGAAAAAGAAATTTATGAAAAAATGTTTTCACAAAAAAAGAAAGAAAAAGTTATTCAGAATGAGGTATATTGTGCTATAGTGTTATTTTATATTTGATATATATATGCAGGGCGCGACAAATCAACGAATGTGCGAACCTTTGTTAAAAAAAAGACAGAAAAATGAACCTCGAGTTTCCTTACTTTTACTTAAGCAAACGTTAATGTTTGCTTAAAATTTTTAAAAATGAACGCATAACTTCAGCAATTTTTTTCCAAATTATGCGATTGATAGTTTTTTATTTATTATAAAAAACACATTATAAAAAAACAATAAGTTACTAACTTTTAAAACACATTTTTAACAACTTTTGAAAGAAACCATGCTAATACTTTCTTCAATAGCGTTACTTTTAAGTTTAATAATCAAGTACACAATTGAAGAAAGTAATTATGTTTTAGCATGGTTTATACATGCGCTTACCCATGGAAAAAATGCATGCGTTTATGCATGGAAAATTTTAGTTAAAATGAATGCATTTGCAATTACTTTAAATGAAACCTAGTTTTTTTCAAAGGCATGCTTTTTTAATTTTCTTAATATCATTTAATTAAAGTAATGTTTGTTCGCTCTTTTCAAAGTTTTAAAATTTTTTTTAAGAATTTGCAGAAATATATATAATTTAATAGAATATATAGAACTATTATGTTTATTATAGTTTTCATTTTTTACTGTGTGTTTAACAACACCAATAATATGGTATTTTATTATTAAATACTTCATATTATTGTAAATATAATAATATCATATTTAATAATAACTTAATTTAATAACTTATTAAATACTTAATATTATATTATTATTTTTAAATGTTTTAAGAAAGGAATAAAACAACTTTTATTTAATTTTAGTTTCTTTTTATTTAAATTTCTTCAAGTTTTTACGATTTTTTATAAGTAAATAAATTTAACAAACTAAATTGAGAAAAATTCATTATTTTGTATAATGGATAACAGTTTACAGTCATAATATTGTTGCATATAGGTTATCAATAAATTTGCGCACGTTTTGCAAATGCGTGAGGAGTTGTTTTAAATAAAAAATTGATAAAGTTCAATAAGCATCTTTAATATATATTAATATTATATATCTTATTAACTAGAATAAAAGTTGTTTTAAAATAAAACTTCCTTATAATTTAATAAAAAATTATTTAAACAAAAAAAAAAAAAAATTAAAAGAATTGAAAATAAAACTGGCATATTTATGTCCGACGACAGGGGTTTCGAAGTGGAAGTGCGCAACCATTTATTTCTACAAACAAGTCCTCTATATCTAAAATTTTTCTTTAAAAAAATAAGACCCTTTAGAAAAAAAGTGTGTGTGAAGATGAGAGGGAAGGAGGGGGAAGTGGACAGGTGTGCCCCACATTGTCGTCCCTGTTATTTGACATACCTCTTAAATTAGGCATTCGTCAATAAATAAAGAAACATCAAAGTTGATTTAAAAAAACAAACAATTTGTCGCGTTCTGATATATATATATATATATATATATATATATATATATACATACATATTTTAGTCAATATTTATTTTTATGTAAGCGAGTTTGCCCATTGATTGTGTGAGTTTGCTTATTGGTTTTGTATCTATTAGTGGTTTATTTGTGTAAGTTTGTACATTGGTTGTGTAAGTAAGTTTGTCTATTCATCATGTTAGTGTACCTTTTTTACCTTTAGCCTTCAGTGTGGCCATACATAATTGGTTCTAGTCTGGTTGCAGCTATTGGTGTTATATCTGGTATTCTATGGTTTCGCAAGCATTCATAATTTTTTACAATTTTGATTTTTTAGAAAAAATTTTAAACATATTTTTATTCCTATTTTTGTTGTTTTTATTTTAACTTTTGAATCACCCGGTTAAAAAATGAATTGTTTACTATCGCTTACATAAAATTATTTTTGTCATATTGCAAAATCACATTGTTCATAATTTAGTACAACACTTGTCATTTGTTTTATTGAACAGTGTTATTTTTTGTTATTTTTTGTTGTTTATATTGCTACTGATTGTCTTTTTATATTTTTTATACTTGCCACAGTTTATTACTTCGTAACAATTTTTGATTTTAATCTAAAATATTATTCATGCTTTCTATGCAAATAATAGAAATTTGTTACTGTGCATAAAATTAACATTAAAAAAATACTTGTTTTTGTGGCAGATTAAGTGGCAATAGTTATTATTGCAAAGTGGCAATTTAAAAAAAAGGAGATTTTTTAACCTGGACCTTAAACTATTCTTCTTTTTTGAATCAAACAAAATATAATTACAGAGTATTATTATAGATATAGTTGTTATTTCTACAAAGAAAATATTAATGACCCGATTTAATGTAGATTTTTTTTCCTTTTATTTTCTTTCAGTTTTTTAAAAAATTATCTGTGTTTGATAAAGTTATATTCATTCAAAAGTCAGTTGGGTTCAATATGGTGACCTGGTTTCTTAAAATATTTTTTAGCTAACTACCCTATTGTGTAACCCTAACCCTGACCCATATTGGTGAATTTGTGAGATACTCATTTAAAATAAATAAAAATAATATTTTTTTAATAACATATTTTATATAAGTTATAACCCTGACCCTAATCCTTCACCACAAAAAGCTGAGTTTTTATCAAAAAAAGATTCACTCCAATATAAAAGCCAAAGCAGAATTTTTACCCCAAAAAATGTATTCTTTTACACACATATTGGAACTACTTTGTTATTTCGACTGCATTTACATACATTTACAACTACATAATTGTTTGCTAAAAATTGGGTTTCGTTTAAAAAGAATTTAAAGTCAAAATATTTTAAATATATAGTCTAAATGTTTTAAATCTAAATTCTTGTTTAAAAATATGTTGAAAATCATTAAATCCCTCCTCTAATGTTTACATTCTAATGTAACATTTTTTAAATGTAAAATATCTGTAACATAATCTTTATTTTCAGAGTCTCTGGATTTTTTTTTGTCTGGGTTTATGGTCCATGCGATAAGAGATCTTGTACAAAACAAGACTTTTCAAATAAGCAAATAACTATAAAATTACGTAAACTTTTCAGAAAGTTTTATGTTTTATGATTTTTTATTATTAGCTATATATTAAGTGCCAATTTCAAAGGTTTTCAATATTTTTCAGTAATCCCGAATTTAATATTTTTCACATTCATTTTCTCATTTTTCCAAGATTTCGAAATTGAAAAAATGACCATTATTTCCAAGACTGTGATTTTTGAGACAAGTGAGATCTTGAAGTATGTGTTTGAAGTAACATTTCTCCTGTTAAATAAACATTCTGTAATGCAAGAATCTTAATGGTATAATGTATCATTTCAGTAATGCAACATTTCTCATAATATAACATAAGGTTTCTGTTATGTAGCATTTCTATAATGTAATGTTTTTGTATTGTAACATTTTTTATTTTATAACATGAGAAACATTGCAATGCAGAATAATGTGTCATAATATTTTATTTCTTATAGTACATTGTTAATGCAGTGTATTTGCAATGATAATGTTTAAAAAGATTTATTTTAGTTTGTCTTTTTTTCTTAATTTTATATTTTTTTGTTTTATTTTTATTATTCAAAACTGAAAGACTGCAGTAAATAATCATTGATTTTTTTCCTAATGGATAGTGTTTCTTTTTTTGTACAATTTACATCAAAGACAACCAGTAGAGATAAATTGTGCAGGTACTGATATTTTTAAATAAATTGTGCAGGTACTAATATTTTTAATGCTTTAGTAATTAGTTTTATGTTTTAAGCATTTAAACTTCGATTGTAAAAACTTATTTAAAAATATTTCAGGTTAGTTCAGTACACTGCTAAACTTATTGGCCACATCACAAATAAACAAAATGACAGTCTAATAAAACGTTTAAAACTTCTTGAAAGCACAATGAGTACAAGTAGAAAAAGTAAGAAGTGTTTTATTAAAAGCATTTTTTTTTTTCATAAAAAGGTTTTATTGATTTTTCAACATGTTTAAACTTTACATTAGTGCTATATATTTTCATTCATTTGTGGTTTACTTTAATAAATTCGTTTAGTAGTATTTCTTATTAATTAGCTTTTTTCTGTGTTTTTGATTAGTATAGCTGTAAATATGTTTTTAAAATGTTTTTTTAACATATTTAGCATGTTTTAAAAACTAAATTTAGGTTTGATTAAAAAAAAATTTTGTTTCAATTTGCTGGCTATTCTTTTATGAATTTTTAACATTTCACTCTATCGTTTTACATTTTAACACCATTTCGCTCTATCATTTTACATTTAACCACCATTTCACTCTATCAATTTACATCTATTCTTTATATTTTTCTTATTCACCATCTTCTACATCTGCTATACTATTGATACTGTTTCTGATTAGTTTTACCAAAGTTTGTTTTTTACCCATCTGTATAAGGTTTTTTACCCATCTGGTCAGGGTTATTTACCTATCTGTTAATATTTTATGTTGACTTTAATGTTTATGCAATTCCAAATAATTTTTTTTTTAATATTGGTGATTCCAAATTTGATTCCAAATTTCCAAAATAAAATTGGTGATTCCAATTCCAAATTATTTTCCAGTAAATCCTTCTTAGCTTTCTACTTTTCTGTGTGTTCTATTTGTAAAGCTGCATCATTCATATTATTCCTATTTTTAAAAACTCCAGATTTAAAAACACTGGAGATTGTTCTAATCTTTATAAAAACACTGCAGAATGTTTTAATTTTTATAAAAACACTGGAGATTGTTCTAATCTTTATAAAAACACTGCAGAATGTTTTAATTTTTATTAAAACACTGGAGATTGTTCTAATCTTTATAAAAACACTGCAGAATGTTTTAATTTTTATAAAAACACTGGAGATTGTTCTAATCTTTATAAAAACACTGCAGAATGTTTTAATTTTTATAAAAACACTGGAGATTGTTCTAATATTTATAAATATTAGTAGGAAATTTAGATAAAACTTTCAGATTCATTGATCGTCTAGTGGTGGAATCAATAAAAGTAATAATAGACATTTTAAAATTGCTGATTTTAAAATTGCTGGTAGCAAAGTTAGTAGAAACAATTTTTTAAGTAGATCATTATTTATGGGACTTGAAGTTTCCGAATATTTTTGGTAAAAACATTTTAAAAGAAATAGATTTTTGAATGCCAGAAGTGATCTAGGGTAAAGATTTGTTTGTTTATTAATTTTTTGCATAGAATGTATTCTATGCAAAATATCTAATACTTTTTCAAATGTTTAAAAAAATAATGTAATCATCTTGTTTTATGTTACCATAAAACAAGTTTCCATTTTAATATTGCGACATTCCTTTTCTTTTTCGTAATCTAACTTTTTAAAGAATGGATTTAAAATGTTATCTTTTTTAATTTCAGATAAGGGATTATACTAAATCGCATTTTATTAGATATACAGTCAAAGCAAAACCATTCAGAAGAGTTATTAGCGAGTGTTCCCTAAAAAATGTAACTACTATATCCCTAAAAAATGTAACTACTATATAAAAATGTAATTACTACTTGAAAAACAAATATAAATATATATATTTTTTAAATCAACAATTAGCAGGTTTATCTTTCTTAAAAACATAATTGATATATTCATTTTCCAGTCAAATAAATCTATTTTTGTACCTAATTTTGTTAATTGAACAGCCATTAATTGCTTAATTACTGGACTAATCATACTATTGAGAGAAATTGCAAGCTATACTAATACTTTGCTTTCAAATTTAGCTTTTCTTTTGTACTTAAGGTTTGTAAAATCATTTTTGGGATCACTAGAATAATACCCATCATTCCCAACATCAGTGGAGTTTGAAAATGTAAAATAAGATTGATCACCCAAAATCATTTTAGGCCCATGAAGAATGACAACATTTTAATGTCCCTGATGAGCTCCATTTCTCTTACTCAAGAAGTCTGAAAATGTTTGGTGGTGCTTCTTTTGATCTGTGACTAGTACCTAGTACCTTTTTATCCAACAAATTCCACTGTTTGAGTCTGGATATCAGAAGCCTAACATTTGACATGGTAAGGCCTATGTGTCTGAACTTTTTTTCTGGTTAGAAGAGTATGACTTCAATGTGGTTAGAAGACTACTTTCTCCTGATGATGGCTGATCTCTTATAAGGGAAGTGAGAACAGGGAGCGCGGTACTGGGCTATGGATGCACAAATATCAAGATAATCAAGAAAATCAAGACTTCATGCGCCTTTGTAACTGATCAAAGTTTCATGGGATCAGCGTTATATATTTGTCACAGTGAACCACAATAACCGCCAGGTTTGATGTCTCCCCACTTCCTTTTTTTTTTTCTTATTAAGAAGTATCATAGTATAAAAATTAGGTGAAGGTATTAAGAACCTCTATAGGAATGGCTAGAATAAAATTTTTACACATCTAAACTTTAGATCAAAAGGGGAGGGGCGGTACATGGTTAACTTTATCGAAGTTCATATATTTCACATAATTTTATGAAGAAACCTAATTTTTACTGTGTTCTTGTGTACTCCCATATTATAAAAGCATTAAAAAGTGTTCGGACAAAAAAAAATGTAGGTATAAAAGCAACAACAACAAAATGCAGTTAACGCATTTAAGGTAAAAAATATCTAGACTAAGCTTTAAAATACACAAATAACATTATATTATATTTGATAAAAATCTTTCATGCTACTAAAATACTTTAGAAACAACAATTTTGACATGTTGTGGGTCAACTATATATTATTTTGAATAGTAAACTTGTTAGCTATTTATTAAATGTTGAAAATTCCACAACACTTGACTTCAATCGTTTAGCATAGTCTGGGCGGCTTTGTTGTCTCTTATACTTACTCCATGTCTTTTTAAACTTATGATAAATAGATTCACCTGCTTGCTCAGAGTAAGTTCCAAGTCCATTATCAGTATTGGTACTTTTTAGAAATGGTACAATATGCTTAACTGCAGTATAAAGTTTCCACGGTATATTCAAAGAAATATTATTAAAGTAAGTATTATATATTCCATTAAATTAGCATAAGACATCTTGAGTTCGGAAACTACAAATTCGATATCACCAACAATTTTTTCTCTAAAGGTAGCTTACTTCATTGCTTGAAACTTTCTCAAACATTCAATTACTGGCAATAATTCAAGCTTTCCTTGATCAGCAATATCACAAGCAAGAACATCTAACTTATCTAAAAGTCTGTTAGCATTGTTGCCATCAAATCCAATGCCATGGTAACCTCTGAAAAATATGTTATTTGAGTTTAACCATTTTTCAAAGCCAGGCCATAGTTTTGATAATAACTTTCCAAAAGTTGTAACTATTCCGATTAATGTATGCAACTCAGGTACTGAAACTAAATTTCTATTATTGTGTCTGGATCCTCTTCATGATATAATAGTCTTGGATTAATAACATTTTTTTAATCAGCCATCTTTGATTTTGGTTTTCCAGCTTCTGTGTATTTAGTGTAATGATAATCGAGGGAACAAAGAGTTCATTTTTCTCCACCATCCAAAAGACTCTCTCCTTCACACCACAAACAACTATATTTTCCAGCATGGTTTGTAATACCAAACATTAAGTTTGCACGCTTTGAATCAAATGCAACAGAATACCTTATATTTTAAAGATTGAGAGTATCAACTAATTTTCTAAGATTTCCATTGTGTTCAGACACTCCTTCTACAATAGCAACAATAAAACAACGCTTAACTTCAGCATCATCAAGGTCAGGTTGGTTGCTAGTTTTATCATGCGGATTAAAAGATTCATAGTGACCTTTAAAAAACCTTGACCAGAATCCACAGCATTGGCATAGTCAATGGTTTTTCATGAGTAGCAATTGTGAATTTTTCACCTCTAAAAATATTTTCTTTTTCCATTTTTGTTTTTAAAATACCTAAAGCGACATGTTCTGCACTTGCTGATCCCAATGCATATGCTGCATTAACTAAATTTTTCACAGCTTGAACATCATTATAAAGATGAATAATGCCTGATTTAACAACTCCACAACATTTTAGGCACATCCTTTCATATTTATCTTCATTTAACTCAGAAGTAATAATGTTAATATCTTTTGATATTTCTGAAACATCCGAAGTTCTTCTGATATCTTGACAATTTATCTAAACAAATAAATCTAAAACTATATAAACTAGTAATATAATAAATATAACACATTATTAATAAACACATCAATGACATATTAGTTCCTATATATAGGAATTTTAAGCAGCTTGTTATATATAACAAGTTGTTTAAAATTTTTTTAATTTATAAAGGTTCATTAAATCATTCAATTAATCAACAAAAATAAGGAGCTGTGTCTCAATGAATCATTGAGACACAGCTCTTTTTACAAAATTCATAAAAATAAAAGTTTTAAACACTAAGTCTTAAATATAGTTTTTTATTAATCTTATCAACTAACCTGAGAAATTAGCTTTTGCCACTTATCAAGGTATTTTGTATCATTATTTTCCAAACAATAAAGGTTTTTATAACAACTACTACAAACAACTTAAGGATGGTTTGCTAAATTTTGATCATAGCTATACCTAATAAAAGTTTTTATTTTTTCTTCAATAGCTTTACTTATTTTATGAAGCTTTGCTGACTTGTTACTAAAGGTTTTAAAACAAACAGCACATTAATTGTTGACCGCCATTTAGTAAAACTCAAGTCATTGTGCACCAGAGTAGGTTTAAAATCAAAAAACGCCGGTATTTGATTAGCAAATTAGAGCAATTTTATTGAAAATGGCGGATATTTTCAACTAAAAACTATACTTTTTATTTTTTGATTTTCATTTTTCCATTCCCCTAGAGGTTTTTACTAACTAAATATTTATTTTCATATATACAACTAAGTATATATAAAAAAAACTGATGTGGGGAGATTTCAAACCTGG